CAGGTGCATCTAGCGTGGGATCCGAAGTAGATGCAGAGGTCCCGCTAGAAGCTTTGATGGGTTTAGCATTGGGTCTCTGCTTATCAGGTAGGGCACTGTCATCGACGTGTGCTGGCTTGAGACGATCAATGCTGACGATTTCGACGCGGCCATGTCGATCAACCTTGAAGGTCTTTTCGTGACGGGAAATCACGTGAAAAGGTCCTTCGTAAGGCTGTTGTAGAGGTTCGCGTACCGAATCTACTCGTATGAAAACATGTGAACAGGTAGATAACTCTCGAGGGAGAGCGACCTGTCGATGTTGTATGCGAGTTGACACCGGAGTCAGTGTTCGCATGAGTGCAGACAGTCGTTGGACATAGTCTGATTCGCTGAACTTAGTGCTGCTCCGTGGTGTGAAAAATTCCCCAGGCAGACGCAATGTCGTGCCATAAACAAGTTCAGCGGCGGAACATTGAATATCTGCCTTTAAACTCGTTCTGATAACCAGCAGAACGAGCGGTAAGGTTTCGTACCAATTGTCGTTTTCGTGTGCTCGAAGAGCACTTTTAAGTTGGCGATGAAACCGTTCAACTAAACCGTTTGATGCTGGATGGTAAGCGGTAGTGCGTATGCGTTCCGTACCAAGCAGTCTTGTTAGTGAGGAGAATAATGCGAACTCAAATTGTTGTCCTCAGTCAGTTGTGACAGTCGAGGGACAACCGTACAGAGCTATCCATCGTTCTACGAAGCGGTGAGCAACTGTCTCCACCGTAATAGACGTGATGGGAATAGCTTCGGGCCATCTTGTGAAACGATCAATGCACGTGAGTATGTGATCATACCCGTGCGATGGTGGTAATGGTCCTACTATGTCTATGTGAACGTGGTCGAAGCGAGCATCAGGCGTAGCAAAAGTGCCAATAGGGGCAGCTACGTGCCTGTGCACTTTTGATCGTTGACATTGCAAGCATTGCTTTACCCACATACGGACATCTTTATTCATGGACGGCCAGACGTATCGTGCAGCGATGAGGCGTAAAGTGGCTGCGATACCAGGATGAGATAAACCATGAAGGGCATCAAAGACGAGACGGCGATAAGCGGAGGGTACGATGGGTCGAGGGAGGCCCGTGGAAGTATCGCATAGGGTAGTACCAGAGCTAGTAGCTAAGTGTACTTCCAGGCACTGAAGGGACGTAGACTGTTGTGCTTCCGTGCATGAAGTATCGTTTGCTTGGGCGGCGGCCATAGCAGGTAGATCGAGCACTGGCAAAGTAACTGCATTCAGTTGGATATGTGATAAAGCATCAGCAACACAGTTCGACTCGCCTTTGACATGACGAAGGTCTGTCGTGAACTGAGAGATATAGTCTAAATGTCTGCACTCTCGTGGTGAGTAGCGGTCAGACTTGGTATGCAGGGCATACGTTAAGGGCTTATGGTCGGTGAATAGGATGAAATTACGACCTTCTACAGCGTGCCGGAAATGTTGTTGCTAGCAGTTCGCGACCAAAAGCGCTATATCTCGTCTCCGTGAGAGTGAGGCGTCGTGAGAAAAATTCGAGGGGCTGCCAACTACCGGAGATATTCTGTTGAATAACGGCTTCTATGGCGAAATCCGATTCATCAACCGCTATACTAAGCGTGGCTGATGGGTCAGGATGCACGAGAAGTGTGGCTTGAGCTAGGGCTGTTTTGACATCTGAAAATGCAGTACGTGCGGCGTCATTCCATTCCAGTTTGCGTGGATTACCGCGAAGTAAATCGGTTAACGGTCGTAACTGTTCTGCCGCGTGCGAAATGAAGCGTCGGTAGAAGTTGACCAAACAGAGAAATGCCTCCAGTTCCTTGAGTGTGGACGGTACAGTGTACTCCATTATCGTACGTACTTTATCTTCACAAGGTAAAATACCCTCATGCTTAATAACATGACCTAAGAATTTTATTTCCTTCTTCCCGAGTTCACACTTGTTGGGGTTGACTATTATTCCATTATCCGAAAGGCGCTGGAATAGTAGCGTCAGGTGTTGATAATGTTCATCTACGCTTGATGATGCGATTAGCAGGTCATCAATATAGACGTGAACAAAATCTAGGTCTTGTACGATGCTATCGATAAACCTTTGGAAAGTTTGAGCAGCATTTCGTAATCCCAATGGCATTCGTAGGAACTCAAATAAACCGAAAGGAGTCGTGATAGCAGTTTTCTCTATATCTTCAAGAGCGACTGCGATCTGGTGATATGCTCGTACCAGATCGATCTTGGAAAAAATTGTCGTGCCCTTGAGTGATGCCGTGATGTCATGTATGTGGGGGATGGGATAGCTATCGAAACGTGTAGCTGCGTTTAACACTCGGTAGTCTCCGCATGATCTCCAACTAACCCCATCCTTTTTTCGAACCATGTGGAGAGGTGAGGCCCAAGGACTGTGTGAAGGACGAATAATACCAGTAGCTAGTAAATTGTCGAACTCACGTTTAGCGAAAGCTAATTTGTCCGGTGCTAGTCGGCGAGGTCTTGCCGTGACTGGTGGTCCGCGAGTGACTATGTGGTGTACCACACGATTGGTCATCGATGGAGTCTCCTCGAGAGGTTTAGTTAATTTGGGGAATTTCTGAAATAAAGCGTGGAATAAATCGTCACGCGAATGAAATACACCTGTGATTCGGTATGCGTCTGTGTGGGCTTTAAAGCCCATAAAGTTGCTGTTCGACGAAGTATCAATTAGCTGCAGCCTACGTGAATCGACCAGCAATTCATAGTGCTGTAGGAAATCGATACCGAGTATAGCTGTGGGAACATCGGCAATGATGAACGTCCACAGATACTGTCGTCGGTTGCTCAGGTTGACCGTAAGTTGTCGTGTACCATAGGTGGGAATGACTGAGCCATTCGCAGCGCGTAGTCGAAGCATAGTGGCTTGAGACTTAGTGTTACCGATAGGTACGACAGAAACTTGGGCACCCGTATCCACAAGGTACCTAGCGTTGGTGCGATAATCGTGCACGTAAAATAAACGGCCAACCTGAGGTGAAGTGCCGGCGAGTACGGCCGCATTTACTCGCCGACTGAGGAGTTTTCCGTCTTGTATGAGCAGGGGGCTCGACAATGACGGGCACCGGCCCCGAAAGCACGGTGAAACCAGCACCAACCTGGACTCGCTTCCGAAACCGCCTTCTGGCGTGGCTTGCAAGATGCCCGCTTGGGGCGAGTCGTTACGGCCTTACGAGATTGTGGCCTGGGTCGGGGGACGTAGGGGGCTGGCACGTTTGTGCGGTCTCGGAAACTGAGACGAGTATGGATACATCTGTCCCTATCCCCATGAGACGGAGGTCGTCTAGCATCGAGATCAATGTTAGAACGGGAAGTAGAGGCAACAATATAGTTGTCTTTGGCGCTAACACGTGCTAGAATCTTGTCTGCTATGATGGCCACCTTGTTCAGTGAGGTGTCCTCGAGCAGGGCCGTAAGGGTTGGCTGGATACTGACTGGTAAGGCTTCGAGCCACAACTCTTTGACTATCTCAGAGTCTGCTGTCGAGTTTCCTGCAAGGGATTGCAGGCGCGTGAGGTGGTGGCTCGTCTTAGCATCACCCATAGGGTGACGTGCTAAAAGAGTCCTCAATCGTTCCCCTCTTGATGGGAGGAAATGTCGAAGGATGGCATCCTTAAGACGGTCGTAAACGTTCGGATTGAGGACAACCTCACGGACAGCGGTTAGGTGATCCCCGGGCAATGATTCCAAAGCGTAGGTGTACTTTTGCCTTTGGTTGGTTATGCGGCGGATCTCAAATTGAGATTCCAGTGCCGCGAACCAGACTTCTGGATCATGGGGAATAAATGGAACCGGTCGAAAACTGATAACCTGTATCTCGGAGTCTATCATATTTATGTTATTCTTATCGTTATCTACCATATTAAGTTGCCAAAATATTATATATTGAAAAATATCAATACGAATATATGCAACCGATGTGGATAGATAAATAGACTCACAGGATTGATCTGGCTTGGAGAATTGGCCAAGTTTGGACTGTGCTCGAAGAATTGGGTTATTGGTTGTGGTTCACCAGATGTGCGTGTTCTCAATACGGCTCACCAGTTTGTAGTGGATGTCGAGTCGAAGACGGACTATGATCACCACTACAATTCGTTTACGCTCCCAAAAAACGACTTGGTTCCTTTGATAGCTCGTAAATCAGAAGACTTTATTAATCCAGATCAATTGTATTTATTGGCGATCTCGTGGTATCGAAATAATACCGAGACGTGTCAAAGAGTACAGGCGAACAGGCAGTGCGTGAGCAAGTTCGAACCAAACAAGGCGGAGAGCGAAAGCAGAAGTGAAACTGATACAGTTAAACAAATACAGTAAAACAATCTCTGGTACAATTGGTTACAATAATAATAATTGTTTCCGTTATTCTAATCGTGTTCTTATCGAAACTGGCCGGTCACTACAAGCTATTGATTTTGGGGAATTATTTACAGCCACAACACCAGGAAACTGGGGACACACCTTCTACTCCTTAAGATTAGTCAAATGCTGGAATTTACTGCTGGAGCTAGTTCAAGAGACTTCTCAGGAGTCCTTCAAGAGAGAACTCAACAGATTATTAAGGACTAAGAACAGTATCTCACTACGATTTACCAACTTTTTTCTTTTTCCTGTTTTATTGATAATATACCTAGATTCCGTCCTGGAGGTATCGGTAATCTACTGCTATTAGATACGGAAGCCAGTTAAGCGAAAGCTTCTATTTAGACCAAAATCATTTGAACCATTTGAGTAAACCAATAGTAGTTGAGATATTTTCACACAACCCGCGCTGGTTACGGATATCTACGATTCCTAAGAGTACCGTTATGCTTTTGCTCGATATGCGTTCTACACTGTTATGTTTCATTTTATGTATATCTAGTTCTGTCGTGCTTTCTAGAAAAGAAATCAATGAACTTTCCACAGTTAAACCTAGTACTTTTAATGTAGATGGTTGCTTGTTATTATCAGCTATCATGAAGATTCACATATCAAAATCAGTGAGTTCCCCTTTCTTGTTTTGTTTTCATCGTTTATGATTCATAAAGTTCGTATGAATCGATACATAGTGTGGGCTTATTGTAGCGTTAATGATGAAGGAATTAGTACTAATCCTCTATTCAATACCGGCGTTTTTACTGTGACCTGAAGCTGTTTAGTTCTTTTGGGGAAGATTATTAAACCCAGTCCGTTAAGATGATAATAAGCGGGACTCCTGGTTTTCAAACTTTCATGTTGTTATGTGTGTTTCTTTATTCATTATGGGTTTCTGTTGGGTTCCACATATGCTGTGCTGATCCAAGCATACAAAAAGGGAAATAAAGGCGAATTTTGGATAGAATCCCTAACAGGAGTCAGTGTAAATACAGGCGAAAATCTATCAGCATGTCACCTTTTGGCCTAGCCCAGCGTTAATAGTGTGATTTCCTATTGAGGGGAAACGTCTCTAAGTTAACACTTACCGTCCCCTGAACATCTATTTTTTCCCTAAAATTAACGCCGAATTTTCCGATTTTTCACAGTATAAACAAGTGAAATAGGTAATTTTTAGCAAAACTGAACGTACTAGTATACTATATACTTCGAAAGTTCACCTTTATTTCCCTATGTCAAACAAATTATATGTGCGCTCGACAGTAATCAACATAGTAGGTTTAATGATGGATAATTTATTAACAATTTTCATACATATAGTTGTCAATAACATTTACATAGAGGGAATAGTGAAACGCCCACACCAAAATGACAGAAAAGTTGTCTTCAACCGTAATCTGAAAAACATTAATGAGAGGTTCATGTGTGAAGAAAGCTCAGTTTAGGCGGAATACTCATGCACACCAACGTCTACCTACTACATCTGCCTAGTTTCGACGTACTGGATCCAAGTGAGAAGTTTAATGTGGGTTTAATGAATATTATTTAGCAAAAAAATACTTACACTAAGTGTAACTTGCACAATAATAGTGTTTTCGGTGATAAGCAGCGTTTTCATTACTTGAATCCTATAACAGAACAGCAATTGACAATTATGGGTATTTTTGTAGAATATTTATTAAAAAGCTGTTATCCAACATGCTAAAACTTACAGTGATATTGCGAACAGCAGATGATGGCACCTAAAAATGAAAAGAGCATGCTCACAGCCTAAATCGTACTTACATCATCTTCCCTTTGATAATAACACTTGTTCACTTTATCTCTCATATCGTGAAAGGACCTTTGAGTAGCCACATCGTTCACTTTCGCGAAATCTTTCTCGCTGAAAGACGATGGGAATTGTGATGTTAATGCACCTTTTAAATAAGGTAAACTGGGATGTAGTCTTATTTCGTATATCGTTATAGAGCCCTGTACTTCGTAGTGCTTCGTTCTGTAGCAGTACCCATCAATTTAAAGTTCATTACCGATTCCAACTTGATCAGGTATGATAATATAGACCTGAGGGACGTTTTCAGATCGTGATCCATCAGCGTAGTGATCATCGCCATCTAAATAGTAAATAAGTTGTTAACTAAGTCGGTTTAGTTACAAATTTATGCTTTGTTGCTTCTTGCTAAATAAACATATCTAAAGTTTGCAATTTGTATCAGTTAACAACGAAGACTGTAAGCTGACTAGTCCACCGCTAAATTGTTTTGACTGATGGACTGTTGTTGGTGTTTGCAACAGTAGCATCATTTGACTCATATTTCCAGACTACTCACAACATCAGCTGGCAGTTTTTTCATTTTCTCATTTGTCTTTGATAATCTACAAGACTTCAGAAAATTTCAAACAAAACTTACTCATCATAGATTGCAATGTTATTGGGTATTGAGATACTGGCTGACAGCAACTGCTTTACTTCGGTTTAACTAATTCATATACAGTTATGGAGACAACAGACGTACTTGACAATTGGGGAAGTTGATGTTTCGAACAGCCTACACTTAGGATACTCCATCTGACTGTACCCAGCTTGCATTTCTGCGACATCCAAGTCCACAGAGTCATACAAGTCATCTGATTGACGTTTAATTACTTCTCTGTAGAATATTAAAAGCGATAACTGGTTTACCGTCTGGACTTTTCTGTGTGCATTGGTGCAGTGTTCTCATTCTGTGGGTGACAATATTCAACTAATTTGGTGAATGAGTTGATCAAGTCTAAAGCACAACTAAAATCATCTGCAAGGAAATAATTAATGTTTGCGACTAACCAAAGTAGTGAGGAGGCGCATACTTTACAGTGGACTAACTGTTGTCCGAATCCACGTTGTTTCTTAACGCAATGTCCGCTGAGGTTGTTGAACAAGTGCAGTTTTCTACATTTGAATGTAGTTTTCAGTGTGCAATGTTATTCAGTAGTTTCTTTTATTTGTCATTTTTTTAGTATACATTTAGACTCAGGCTGCATTTCCGTCAATTATTTTAACTCCATGTCGTCTCTATGCATGTTCTATATCAAGTATTTTAAGTGTCTAATTGTTTGCTCATGTAATACTGTTTTAGGACCCTGTTAAACAATCAGAATCGGTGTTTACAACATACGTCAACTCAACAAATGCTAAAAGCATCAATTCCAGCGGCGAATGCATGAATTCCACCAACAGAGAATACAACCTCTTAAACTTGTGTTGGAAGCCGAATGGTTCTGAGGGCAATTGGAATATATCATTTAATTTCTCTGAGACCTATCCTGGTTATTATGGTTTGACTAGCGTATACTTATTGTACTGGCTGGATAAATTGGGTCAGTTTATTATCTAGTTTTCTTATGATATTTCTCTTTATGAACTCAAATTTGTCAGTAGTAGGTTATAAATATTGTAATCCCATGTAATTGGTAGCAATCACTGGTCGTCCCAATATATACGAAACGATCAAAATCATCCTGTGATAACCATAGAGGGATTAGTTTAATTAATATAGCATCTAAAATAATAGCCTCAATAATTATAGGACACCTAACAAGGACTTTTTAACTGCAAACACGAGAAAATCAGGTTGGTTTCATACCCGGTCGTGGCTGAACCGACCACATATTCACCATTCATCAGATCTTAGAACACAGGCATGCTTATAAGCGTCCGAATATGATAGTTTCTCTTGACTCAAAGGCAGCATTTGACTCTGTTGACCGAGAGGTTCTGTGGCAGTGTCTGTCATTGAAAGGTGTACCTCAGAAGTACATAAACATTGTGAAGGCTCTTTACTGGAACACTACTAGTCGAGTCAGAGCTTATGGTGAACTGTCATCTGATTTTGCAACTGCAAGTGGTGTCCATCAAGGATATCCACTATCTCCATTTCTGTTCAATTTTATCATAGACCTACTACTGCGAATAACGTTCTCGTCATCTGAATTTTCAGGAATTGATCTTCCAGTAGGTCCACTCGTCGACCTAGAATACGCAGATGACATAGTCCTGTTTCGTGAAGACGCTGATAAAATGAAGTATTTTGGTAGCATACCATAATGTTCGGGATGTGTTTCTCCTCCTCTAAATGCAAGTAGTCGAACGCATTGACAACTTCACCTATATTCAAAGTCTGATCAACCCTATTGGGTTGGTGTCTGACAAAATCTTTGCATGTATTCAGAAAGCTCGTTTCGCTTTTGCCAACTTACGTCACCTATGGTGAAGACGAAATATCCGTTTATCAATTAAGGGAGGAGTATACTGTGCAGCAGTTCGTTCTGTTCTACTTTACGGCTGCGAAACGTGGACATTAAGAGTAGAAGATACTCGTAGGTTACTAGTATTTGACCACAGATGTCTTAGAAATATTGCTCGCACCTGCTGGGATCACCGGGTAAGTAATAGTGAGGTTAGAAGCAGGGTATTAGGAAATGATGGTAAATCAGTTAATGAGGTTGTGAATCTTCACCAACTGAGATGGTTGGGCCACGTGTTACGTATGCCTGAACACCGATTACCACGACGCTTTATGATGACTAGAATTGGGGATGGTTGTAAGAAAGTTAGGGGTGGCAAAATGAAAACGTGGCATCAGTGCTTGAAGTCACTAACTTCCGGTTTGAGCCATGTTGGTAGATGCAGACTGCTCGGTTGGGGGTCCTCGTGACTATCGTAATCAATGGTTGGAGACTTTGGGTGATATGGCTCAGCATCGATCACAATGGCGTAGGTCTATACACTCTCTGTTTGTCTCCGTTTGTCACTACCTTTGTCTGCTAAAGATGCGTCAAATGCGTATTTTTAGTTGATGCACAAAGTCATAACGTCCACTCGGTTATCATCTTTCTAGTTTTTACAGAGATTAGTTTTTATCTGTCGTTTCCTTCTAGCTTAAAATTATTTCGTAAAAGAATATCATTCTCCATCTGTCCATTAACGTATTTTTCTTCACTTGCTACCTGATTCATAGTAAATAGTTTCCATTCATGCTTTTCATTATTGTTCTGCTTTATACCACAATTTCATGTATTCATGTCATAGCTGGCAGCATCTGTTTGACAGTCTGCTATATCAAACCAGCACAAATAAGGCATTAGTCTGTTTTCTGAACTACATTACAGTCGTTGATCTTAGCTAAGTGTTATAATCACATTCAGGTGGAATTTAATTAAGTCTAATAGATATATTTCAGCATTTTATGACACTGATTATATTTCTTGCGAGTCTTTACGTCTAGTGTATCGAGACTCTACATCATTGTTACGGTAGCCGGTGGTTTAATGGTTTAAATACTATTGACTAAAACATTATTGAATGGTATCAGCTTGTGATTAACGCTACTTAGTAGACATTTATGTAAATGTATCCTGTTTTAAAATGCGCTTGTTGTTTACAACTAAAAATTACTAGTGGGTCTCTCAAGGTACGGTTCACACACTACTCTACGCTTTTCTCACCAGGCTTTAAGGAGCTAAATGTTGATTCTTAACCTTCACTGAACAACTTTGTCTAGTATGCAAGGTTACATTAGGTTAACTAGTTTCATATACCTCTGTTTCTTGAGATTAAATATGTAGATTCAACACTGAGTCGTAGCGTACCGGAACGTTTGTTGCTTAAGTTAACATGATAATCGTGGTAAACAACCGGGGACGTCGAGTAACGTTTCAAAGCCAGTCACTGATGCAGATGCACTAATTTTTTATCTTCCTCTAGATCTTGAACTAATGTACACATGTGTCATGTTTTACGTTGCATATGACTAACAACTAAGATCTTGAGTTTCAATATTATTTCATGTTATATTCCACAGACTCATTCTTCGTGAACAAACACACTAGTTATGTCTATTATTTCACATGGCCATTAATATTACTGTGATTTCGACCTTGGTGTTCATTTTGTCGATTTCTCTCCGGGATGAATCACTGTAGGAAAATGGGCCACCGAACATTTGTGGCATGTGCTACTTTGATTTTAACTGGATGGTGATGAGCCTAAACGCACTAGCTATGTTATTGCCAAAGATTTGCTTTGTAGCTCAGATTTAATGGCGAATCTGTACTGGTAATTGACGAGGAATATAATTGTTACGTCCTTGATCTATCAAACTATTAATATACAGAAGAGAACTTATCTCGATAATAGGTTAAGGCCCTGACACGATATGCTAACTGGTTTAACCTTGAGTTTGGGGATGCGTGAGTGCAAATTGAGACTAAGGATCATGGATAAAGAGATGAAAACTACTTTATCACCCGATTGTTTGACAAGCGAGAGAGAAGACGAGTCAACTAAAGCACTACCCAATTTATTTCTGATTCCCAATCCAGATCAGTGCAAAAAAGATGCGTGAATAAATAGATGACCAACGTGACCACAACGCCAAACAACTAAGGAAACACAATTTTGTCGAAACTGCCCCCAAATGCCCTGATACGGCCGAGAGTGGGAAGAGTCCGCTCTCCCTCTCCAAATGCTCTCATATGGCCACGTGTATATAGCTTCTGCCAGGGAAGTCCAACTCACTGCCTTCTCGTGGCACGGGTGTTGTTTACGAAAGTGAGAGGACAAAAAGCGAATGTCCGGCGCTTTAACCGGGTCAGTGGACAAGGCGAGTCCATCTAGGGGAGTTGGAAAACCCTGATTCCAAACCAATGGTTCACATGGGATCCAGTATCCTGAGGGAACAAATGGCGTATGAATCAATCGTTGATCACCGGCTACCATGTGACTGCATCTCCTTACGATGCTCCACTACCTTGTGGATCAGATCTTTCGGTCAAAGGCTGGGGGTGTGGGCCCCTAAGAAAACCACCTGCTTCAGTTTGGGCACCTGGGCAGTATCACAGACCTCACACAAATCGAATGAGATTTGTATGGCGCATATGTATCTGGTGCTTCTTTGTACCAATATTTATGTGTTTAAATAAATAAATAAATAAAATGTCGAAACTGGGCATTAGGGTAGAAAAAATAAAGTACTAAAGGTTACGTTTAAATTACAATAGCTTTGGAGCAGAAAAGGGTATGACAGTGAATGATGTTTATAGTTTATAAAATAACATAGGGACAAAACAAATGTTTATATCCTACAATTCTTGAATTAAGTGAAATAACATCCACAAAAACAGGTTCTGTCGTTTGTTCCTCTGTTCATATAACTTATATTTAGGGCATGTCTCGTGAAATAGTTCAATGGTTTCCGCGAAGTGCATCCTATCCACCTTCGGTATCTTTTCTTGATTTATTCTTCAACTGAAAGTTGGATCTTTCTGTGCCCTTCAGGCAGTAAAACTACTTAAATTTAACTACAAAAATGTGCAAATGAAAATTACAGGTTTATTATTTGCGCTAATTTATATTCAATATACACATTGATACATAGGTGATCGATCATCTAATAAATGCAAGATCACATCATTACAAACTAATCTACAAGAATACTCGCTTAAAATTCAGTCATGTTTGATAATAAGAAAGAATTTGTAAAGAAAACTAATCATACTGGGGTTTTATCCGATTTTCTAGTGGGAGTTAATACTGATAGTGTCTAGTGTGATAAAACCATTGTTGTTAGAGAATTTTACTTGTAAAAAAATAACACCAGGATAGTATTGTTTGTTTAAATCTTCCCATCGATGTGTTAGGACTGCAACTGGTCAGTCTAATTGGCATCAGTCAGTCAGCTACAACGTAGGACCAGGCACACATATGCATCTGTCCAAGTTGCCATATCTCGTTAGCACAACAAGATGAACACCGGATTCATAGAAATAGTTAATTTAGTGGTGGTAGTATATAAAAGATAGGTTGTATATAAGGATATAGTATAGTAAGGAAGAACGTTATGAAGCAATTTTAATCTCTTAGTTTAAGGGAAGATAAAAAGTGTATACACCTACGCTATTGTGATCGATTCTGAGCGATGTCACCTAGAGTCTCCAACCATTAGTTACGGTAGTCACGCGAACCCCAATCAAGTAGTATGCATCTGCCAACATGACTCAAACCGAAAGTTAGTGACTTCTAGGACTGATGCCACGTTTTGGTTTGGACGCCCCTAACTCTCTTCCAACCATCCCCAATTCTAGTCATCATAAAGCGTCGTGGTAATCGGTGTTCAGGCATACGTAACACGTGGCCCAACCATCTCAGTTGGTGAAGATTCACAACCTCATTAACTGATTTACCATCATTTCCTAATACCCTGCTTCTAACCTCACTATTACTTACCCGGTGATCCCAGCAGGTGCGAGCAATATTTCTAAGACATCTGTGGTCAAATACTAGTAACCTACGAGTATCTTCTACTCTTAATGTCCACGTT